ATCCAGCTCGAAAGCAGGCGCTGAAAGATGGGGTCTAGGGCTCCATTCGTGTTTTTTTCGTTGCGAAGTTTGCATGTTTTCCCGCCGTCGGATCTCGGGGGAGGAACTCTAGGCCTCCTAGATGGAATCGGAGTAGATGCGGTCGAAGGATCGCTTCGCATCGCCGACGTCGACGATACATCGCCGATTCATTGCCGATGCGTTGCCGGTGTATCGTCGATGCGGCGTGATCCTCCGAACCCATCTACAAGAAGCCCCGTTCGTGAGGCCTCTAGTGGAGGAATCGGTGTACACCTTAGGCGATGCTTAAGAAAACTTAAGTTTTCGGCCAGAGTCTCGATTATTCTTAATGTTTAAATGTAACTCCTAAGATTTTGATAGAAATCTTGGATTGTTATTCAAGTTCTGAGACTATGAATTTCTTAACCCATGATTTCTAAAGCATTTCGCAGGGTGTAGATTAGTGTCAGATTTTTTTTTTTGACTCTGGGGACCCTCGCCGGACTCCGGGGCCGTCGAACAGCTGCCCGCGATGAGAAGCCGGCAGCGGAGGAAGGGTCGGGCCTTCCGGCGGGCCCCTGGGGAACAGGTTGGGATCAGTCAGAGCCCCAGAATCATCAGGGGTAACTCGGGTCAGGGATAACTCGGGTTCCTTTTTCGGGAGTCCGAACCCGAGTTACCCCGGACCCGAGTTACCCCGGATAATTCGGGCGTCCAGAGCCCTAGAATCATCAGGGGTAACTCGGGTCAGGGATAACTCGGGTTCCTTTTTCGGGAATCCAAGCCCAAGTTACCCCGGACCCGAGTTACCCCGGATAACTCGGGCGTCCAGAGCCCCGAATCATCAGGGGTAACTCGGGTCAGGGATAACTCGGGTTCCTTTTTCGGGAACCCGAACCCGAGTTACCCCGGACCCGAGTTACCCCGGATAACTCGGGCGTCCAAGTAAGTCCATGCGGAGTGCTCGATCTCAATCTGGACCTACTCCGTCTGGACGTGGCCTCTCCTGGTGGGAGGCCACTGAGTCTGTGCGGAGCGACTCCGCCTGGGCGGAGCCTCTCCCGACGGGACTTCCGGGGACCCCCTTCTTGCACAACTCCCGACGTTGCATCCCCATGAGAGGGCCCTGCTGGAGACCGGGCCCGCTGCTCTTTGCCACCGCTCTCTCGGGCTCCCCAGGGCACTCCGCGAGCCCTGGGACCGTCAGAGACGGCTCGGGACGAAGAGCACTGCTCCCGCGGGCAGGCCCTGGGTGGGGCCCAGGACCCGTGTGCCCCAAGCTAAACGTTGGCCCCGCGCAGGGGGGGGGTGGGAAGGGGGGAAGGGGGACGGGGGGAGGCATCTTATATCTGCACGAACGACATGGGTACGGAAAGAGTGGGTACACTACCCAACAGCAGTTCCGAAGGGGGGAAGGGGGACGGGGGGAGGCATCTTATATCTGCACGAACGACATGGGTACGGAAAGAATGGGTACACTACCCAACAGCAGTTCCTGTTCATTTTGAACAGGACTCGCTGTCCACGCCGCCGCGGCCTGTGTCCATTCGAGACAGGAGGCCGCCTGCCCAACAGCGGCCGCTGTTGGTTTGGGGCAACATTTGTTGTTGGGCATTGTACACAGACATTCGGGGCAACGATCGGGGGGCTCGGCACATGGGGGATGCACCGACCTCTCATCGCCCATGGATCGCCGACAGGGGACGGATAGCCCCAGCCTGCCCAGGAATGTGTGGATGCAGGGTCGGGGGCCCATCACCGATCTATCGGGGATGTATCGCCGATTCCAGCTTGATGTGCCCCCAAATAAGCCAGTTCTCCCTTGCCGTTGCCCCTCAGACATGCGATGTCCTGTGTTTTTCTGTGCGGGGTCTCGGGAAGTCCCGACCCCTCTCCGGGACCAATCTTGCATCCCGAGCCGGCTTTCGACGGCCCCGCGAGGGCCCCCAGAGGCCGAAAACGGCCAACAAACTTTCTGTTCGAGCCCCGTGGTGGAGTTGGGCGTGGCGTAGTGGCGGGGCGGCGGCAAAGGGGGGGGGGGGCAGCGAGGGCTGCAGAAAAGGGCTGCAGAAAAGTGGCCCTGCAGGGCCCCTGCAGGGGCGCTCTCGGGCCCAGAAGGAGGCCTGGAGGATCCGAGCAGTGCACCTTCCCCCCCCCACTTGCAGTCAACCCGCATATAGTAAGGATGGGCACCCTCCCCAACGGCATCCTTGCATCCTTGCCCCTTCGGCCCATCTTCGGCGACTTCCGCTGGCCAACCTCGTTCGAAGAGCGCTGACGTGAGCCTCCAAGGCTCTTGCATCCTTACAGTGGAACCGAGGTCTAAGATCGAGGCCGCTTCGGGGAGGGTATCCCAGCGTTCTTCGTGTTTGCGGAACGCTCTCGTGCATCCAATAGGGAGGGTGCCCTCCGATGCTCTGCCTGCTTTGGCCGACGGAGGGCCTCGTGCCCTCGAGGGGTATTCTTCTGGCCCAGGTCCGACTGTACACCTTAGGCGATGCTTAAGAAAACCTAAGTTTTCGTCCAGAGTCTCGATTATTCTTAACTTTTTCAATGTAAGTCCCAAGATTTTGATAGAAGTTCTGGGTTTTATTCAATTTCTGAGACTATGAATTTCTTAACCCATGATTTCTTAAGCATTTCGCATGGTGTACCGCGCATCCTTATGATACGGGTTGACCGTGTCGCCCCCCGCTGGTAGCGAGGCCCGGCGGAGCGGCGCACGGCAGGAGCCTCCTCGCCCGGCAGCGTGACCGTGGCGAGCTGCCCCGGCAGGTTCGACGTCCCCGGCTACGGCAAGGCCCGCCCGCGCCTCTGCCGCCGGCTGCGCTCCGCCCCTTCGCTGTCTCTCTACGGCAGGTTCGCGTCGTGTCGACCGGCGGCGACCCCGCCGCCGGCGTTCATCAGAGCGTGAATTACCTACCCCGCTTTCGCTTCCAGGCAAAACCAAGTCATACCACGCGCCTCCTCGCCAAGCGGCTTGACCAGTACAGGCCGTAGTTTGGCATCGCTTGGTATCTCTTGGAAGCGAGGGTGGTCAAAAGCGAGGTAGGTTTGTTTGCCCCCTAGTTCAGCTTTGAACGCCGCCGGCGACCTGGAGTCGCTCAATGTTGAACGATCTGACGTTGCGGAAAGGGCCGACCGTTCAAGGTCGAACGATCTCCGCGGTGTCAGGGACCAACGCTGGGGTCGGCACGACGCGAACTTGTCGTAGGCCTCCCAGACGGGGTCCGAGTAGATGGGGTCGGAGGATCGTTCCGCATCGCCGATGCATCGCCGATGCGGCTCGATGTGGGGCCCGATGTGCTTCATGTCGACGTCGCCGATGCATCGCCGACGTCGACCCTGCATCGCCGGCGCATCACTGTTGCATCGCCGATGCATCGCCGATGTATCGGCGGTGCGACGCGATCCTCCGACCCCATCTACTCCGACCCCATCTAGGAGGCCTCTAGTCTCGGGATGGTCGATATGGGTACGGAAAGAGTGGGTGCGGTGCCCAGTAGCAGTTCCTCTTCCTCTGGAACAAGACTCGCTGTCCGTGCCGCCGCGGACGTTGTTCACGGAAGACACGAAGCCGCCAGCCCAACAGCGGCTTCTGTTGGTTTTGGACACACCTGTTGTTGGGCATTGTGCCCATCTTTTCCGTACCCTTTGCGGGCGTCCAAATGGTCGGGGCGCGCGCGATCGGCGTCACCCCTCCCAAGATGTGCTTAAGCGTCGTGGCAAACATCGCGACGGGAGGTTTCCCCAGAGATCCGACGCTCCAACAGAGGTTGGAGGCGAGCGGTCTGGGGCAGACCTCGACCTCCGGGGGCCCTCTCGGATCGAAAACAGTGGAGCGGCCTGATGTCTGGGTCTGGCCGTCGGGATGGAAGACCGGTCGTGTGTCGGGCCGGGCGAAAGGGGGGGATTTGGAAAGGGGGGGTTACGAAATTTGCTGCATGCAGCTGGTTTCGGCCTCACCGAGGGGCCCATTCCTCGATACATGGGCGCCTCCCGGCGCCGGGAGGCGCCGGGAAAATCAGCTACGTGAGCTGATTCTCAACCCCCCCCTTTGCTATCCCCCCCTTTCGCCCGACCCGAGTGTGGAAGGGGTCGGGGCTTCCTGAGGCCCCGTGCCGAGCAAGACCAGGGCATCGCATGTCTGGGAACAGACGGGCACCCTGTGCGCGTCGCGCCCCCAAGCGGGGGGCCCGCGCGCCGAGAAGCCTTCTTTCTATAGTGTATGCTTCCCGGCGGGCGCTTTCTGGCATTAGCGTATCGGAGCACGATCTGTTACAAGACGTCTGTGCTGGATGTTCGGGTCGTTTGCGCGCCTCCGAGGAGGACGCATCGTACCAGTGTGTCCTGGTGCGTCCCATCGGGGCGCACGTCACAGTGGTGGGCTTGTTTTCCACCACCTCCACCACCATAAGTTGGAAGGGGGAAGGAGGAGGATGAAGATGATGATGACGATGATGATGGTGATGATGATGATGATGATGATGTTGACGATGATGATGATGATGATGATGATGATGATGATGATGATGATGATGATGAGGATGATGAGGAGGAGGAGGAGGAATAATAATAATGATAATAATCATATTAATAAGAAGCATGATAATACTAAGAAGAATAATCAAATAATAAGCATAATAATGCTAATAATAATCATAATAATAATAGTAATATTAACAATAGTAATCATACTGATAATAATCATAATAATAATAGTAGTAGTAATATAATACTATTACTAATAATACCAATTCTAATAATAATAATGATAATAAAACTGATAATATTAATACTGTAAGAATAATAATACTGTTAATAATAACAATAATAATAATGATACTAATAATAATAAGAAGAATAAGAAGAATAAGAAGAATAAGAAGGAGAAGACGAAGAAGAAGAAGAATAACAATACGAATAATAATAAGAAGAATAAGAATAATAAGAAGAAGACTAATAATAATAAGAAGAATAAAAATAATAAGAAGAAGAGGAGCAGGAGGAGGAGGAGGAGGACCCCCTCCCCCTCCCACTTATTGTGGTGGTGGTGGTGGAAGACAAACCCGCCTTAATGAGGGTCAGCGCTAACTGAGGTCCGCCAACCCCTCCTATCTGACCTGGGTCTGAGGGGGACCACGTGGGGCCGGTTTCCCTTGTCCGCCCTCCGCTGGCCTAAGTCGGGCCTGTCCCTCCATATACGTAGGAGGAGTATTCAAAAATAGTCAAAAATAGTCGGGGGGCGATTTTTTTTGGGGGGGGTATTTTCAGGGTATTTTTCAGTTTTCGCCCAAAATCCCCCTGTAGGGGGACACGCCCGACCTAACGCTAACGGGGGTCCGCCAGCCCCTTCTGGCTGACCCGGGTCTGGGAGGGACCGCGTGGGGCCGATTTCCCCCCTGGCCGCCCTCCACTGGCCCGGCTTTTTGGGAGCTGCCACGCGGTCGGCCGAGCTTCGCGCGAGGGCCCTCTGGCCGACCCCGGGTTTGGTCGGGTATAGCCAGGACCCCAGGTGAGGGGACCCGCTTAGTTGTAGGGCCCCAGAGCCCCCAAATTGGCCAGAATCACTAAGCCAGGCCTGCCGCAGCCGATGTTTTTTAGGGTGGCGGCAGTTCCGGTTATAGTGGCACGGGGCCGAGGGGCGTCCTCCAGTACATATCATTAAACCGGGTCCCATTAAACCCAGTTCTGCCAACGCCCGGTTTAGGCTGTTCCGGACCAGCGCGTTCCCGACGCTTTCTTTGTCGTTCGGTCGCAAATCATGGGAGCCTCGGGTACCTTCGTAATCCCGTCTCTAGAGTGCATTAGCGCGTTAGCGTCTTGTGATCGATGAAACATCGCCGATGCAGCATCGATTAGCTACGATCTAGCGTCTGTTAGCATCGTTTTCGCGTCGACTAGCGTCGATCAGGTCGCCTCCCTCGCGCCACCCCCTGGTGGTGCGCACCGCCAAATCTCGTCGCGGCAGGGATGAAAGGTATCAACGACACGCGCGTCGTCTTTCAACATGCGCGTGTTATTCGTGCGCTTTCCGCACCACCGCCTGACACATCTTCAGCAGCAGCACGCTGATCGGGCGTCCGACCGACGTGTCATCGGTACTGTTTTGGCTCTCCGATCTTCCTCCTCCCTGCTCTGCCCCTCCCCCCCCCAGAGGTTGCGATCGTGCCGACGGGCTGGGCCGACGCCGACGGTTACAAGCCCGTGGACGTCACCGAGAGCGGCGAGCTGGCACGCCCTGCCTCGGAGGGTGGGTGGGAGAAGAGGAATGTCGAGGAGGAGGGTTTGGGAGGATGAGGAGGAGGAGGAGGAGAAAGAGGAGGAGGCGGAGGAGGAGGATGAGGAGGAGGAGGAGGAGGAGGCGAAGGAGGAGGAGGATGGGGGAGGAGGAGAGAGGAATGAGGCGGAGACGAGAACGATGATGATGATGAGTGAGAGAGGAGGAGAGAGGAGGAGGAAGAGGAGGAGGAGAGGAGAGGAGGAGGAAGGAGGAGGAGGGTGGAGGATGATGAGGAGGAGGAGGCGGTGCATGAGAATGATGATGATGATGATGTGATGATGATGATTATATGAAATTGATGATGATGATGATGATGATGATGATGATGATGATGATGATGATGATGATGATGATGATGATGATGATGATGATGATGATGATGATGATGATGATGATGATGATGATGATGATGATGAGGATGAGGATGAGGATGAGGATGATGATGATGATGATGATGATGAGAGGATGAGGATGAGGATGAGGATGAGGATGAGGATGAGGATGAGGATGAGGATGAGGATGAGGATGAGGATGAGGACGAGGACGAGGATTAGGATGAGGATGAGGATGAGGATGAGGATGATGATGAGGAGGAGGCGAAGGAGGAGGAGGAGGTGGAGGAAGAGGAGGAGGAGGTGGAGGAGGTGGAGGAGGAGGAGGACGAGGAGGAGGAGGAGGAAGAGGAGGAGAGTCGAGGAGGAGGGTCGAGAGAGAGGATGATGGATGAGGATCCGCCTCCTTGTCTCCGCTGGCGCCGCGCTCACCGCCCGAAGGTGGCCCACATGGACGCGCGCGCCTACTTCGCTGACACGTGCACAGCAGGATGGCAGGGCCGGCGGGGAGTGGGCGGGGCAAGTCTGGGACGGAGATGACCGACGATCGAGGATCGAGGTTTATGGACGCTCTTGCCTCTCTCCCCAGACATGCTCGCGTCGTGACAAAATCAGGGCGGGAGGTTTTTGGCCGTTTTCGGCCTCTCGTGTCCTTGCCAGGCCCCGGGACCGTCAAAAAACGACTCGGGATGAAAAACCAGTCCTGGGGAAAGGATCGGGACTTCTGGGGACCCCGCCCAGATCGAGGGTTCTGGACGCTCTTGCCTCTCTCTCGGAGGCTGAGTTTGCAGCAGTCGTCGCCGTCATCCTTCCCCTTCCCTTCTCAGGTGGGCGGGGTGTGCCTTCCAGCGCCGGGGGTGGCTCATCCGAGTCGCCCCGGTCTGGAAGTGAGCGCTTGTGCCCAGCGCGACGCCTCCTTGCAGAGCCCGATCCTCTGCCTCTCCCTCCGCTCCCTCGGCTCCCTCGCCCCTCGCGCGCCCGGCGTGGGCACCCGCACACGGCTGGCACGCGCAGTTCTGTTGTGAGGGCTTCGAGGCCGGCTCGCTGCTGGCTTGCGGTTTTGTGAGCGCAGGGCGAGGATCAAAAAAGAGCCTCTCTCTCTCTCTCTCCTTTTGACTTCCAGAAGCCTCCGGGGGTCCCCAGAGGCGTCGGGATACCTCCATGGCTCCTCCAGGGGACTCTGGGGATCTCCAGATGGGGAGGAGGAGGGGGAGGAGGAGGAGAGCCAGTGTGAACCCAAGACCCATGAACGATATTGCAATAAAACCTGCCTCCGAGTTCCCTCTTCATAGGCCCCTGCCAGGATTCATTTCACTGAGAGAAGTGCCCTGTTGGAAGACAACCGTTCGAACATCCAGAACTATGCCAGAATACCATTCCTGGGATTTCAGCGCTGCGAATCACCGTTACTGCTGCGTTTTGCGATCGTGAACCGTGCCATAATACCATTCCTGGGACTTCAACTCCGCGAGTCAATTTAAGTTTTGCGTCCCGACAGTCCGACATCGTGCCGAAACACAATCTCTAAACCATGAGACTCCTGGAAACCATATTCGATTCATGGGAAAACTATAAGCGGCGCTGTGGCGAGAGCCACATTTTGAAAAGGAGCCGCCCTCAATCCGTGAAGCTTGTGCAGTGTTTCAAGTCGAATGTGCGAGACGCTAAGGCGACAGCCACATTTTGACACGGACCCGGCCTCCATCCGTGGGGATCGTGCATTTTTTAGACGAATGCGCGGCGCTAAGACGAGCGCCACACATTGAAAACGGCCCGCCCTCCATCCGTGAAGCTCTTGCAGTAAAACGAATGTGCGCGACGCGCAGGCGAGACACAGGGAGGAGTTATTATCAGGGACAGGTCTGGAGGTGGAGGAGGAGGAGGAGGAGGAGGAGGAGGAGGAGGAGGAGGAGGAGGAAGTTGGGGAGGAGGAGGGAGGAGGAGGAGGAGGAGGAGAAGAGAGGGGGAGGAGGAGAGAGGAGGAAGGAGAGAAGGAGGAGGAGGAGGAGGAGTGGAGAGGCGAGGAGGAGGAGGAGAGGAGGACGGATGAGGAGGGAGGAAAAGTAGGTTGATGATGATGATGATGAGGAGGAGGAGGAGGAGGAGGAGGAGGAAGAGGAGGAGGAGGAGGAGGACATGGAGGTGGACCCTAGTTGGCCGCGTCCCCCCGAGGCTGTCCACGCTCACTGCTTCCTCCCCCCTGCACCCTGTCCCCCTCCTCCCCCCTCCTCACCTCCCCTTCTCCCCTCCATGATTACACAGTATGAGTACTACTCTCCTCTCTCCCCTGATGACGTCCGGAAGATGTTCGGCCCCCCTCCGCGTGTTGTTTTTTTCCCACATCCTGAGTGGGGTTCTTGTTTTCCCAGAACATCCTCTCCTTCTCCCTCCCGCCTCCCGCCTCCCATATCAATACCATGCCAACTATTCCAGCCTCCCATATCATACCATGCCTAGCGTTCCATACCATAGCATACCTACCATACCATACCATACCATACCATACCATACCATACCATACCATACCATACCATACCATACCATTACATTTACCATTACCATTACCATTACCATTACCATTACCATTACCATTACCATTACCATTACCATTACCATTACCATTACCATTACCATTACCATTACCATTACCATTACCATACCATACCATACCATACCATACCATACCATACCATACCATACCATACCATACCATACCACACACTACCAAACAATACCATACCATACCATACCATACCTACGATGCCATACCACACCATACCATACCATACATACCTTTCGTGCTCCTCCCACCCCTCCAGAGAGGCCCCGCCTGAGCGAGGAGGGTATCGGAAACCCATACTATTTACATTGTTTCGTGCCCCTCCCACCCCTCCAGGGAGGCCCCGTCTGAGCGAGGAGGGTATCGGAAACCAAACCTATTTACATGGTTTCGTGCCCCTCCCACCCCTCCAGGAAGGCCCCGCCTGAGCGAAAAGGATTTCGGAAACCAATACTATTTACAAGGTTTCGTGCCCCTCCCAGCCCTCCAGGGAGGCACCGCCTGAGCGAGGAGGGTATCGGACACCCATACTGTTTACATGGTTTTGTGCCTCTCCCACCCCTCCACGAAGGCCCCGCCTGAGCGAGGAGGGTATCGGAAACCCATACTATTTACATGGTTTCGTGCCCTTCCCACCTCTCCAGGGAGGCCCCGCCTGAGCGAAAAGGGTATCGGAAACCCCTACTATGTACATGGGTTCTTGCCCCTCCCACCCCTCCAGGGAGGCCCGTCTGAGCGAGGAGGGTATCGGAAACCCATACTACGTACACGGTTTCGTGCCCCTTCCACCCCTCCAGCAGGTCCCGCCTGAGCGAGGAGGGTATCGGCAACCCGTACTATTTACATGGTTTCGTGCCCCTTCCGTTCGGTTTCGTGTCCCCCCTCCACTCCTCCAGAGAGGCCGCGCTTGAACGAGGAGGGTCGCGGAAAGCATTACTCTTTACCAGGTTTCGTAGCCCTCCCCCCTTCAGCGGGGCCCCGCCAGAGCGAGGAGGGTATCAAGACACCGTACTATTTACAAGGCTTCCTTTTTCTGAGCACCTGTCCTCCCTCCTCCTTTCTTTCGTCTGCCCTTTCGTGCGTACTTACTCGTTCGGTGAGCTTCTCCTTCGTGTTGATGTTGTCGTACCCCATGGGTCCCACGACACCGTTAATATCTTTAGGGGGGAACTCCGTTAGCATAATTACACAGGGTCCCCGGGAGTTGGGTTTTCGTTTTTTGTTTTTGCCTTATATTTTGCACCGCCGAAGCGTTGTCCTCCTTTTCGGGCTTCCGTTCGTGCCGAATCGTGCTCCCGCTGCAGCGCTGGCCTCATTTCCGCACTTCAGCTCGTTCCGAATCGTGCTCCCGCTGCAGCGCTGGCCTCATTTCCGCGCTTCCGCTCGTTCCGAATCGTGCTCCCGCTGCAGCGCTGGCGTCAGTATTTCCAGTGCCATGCCACGGCATGCAATGCAATGCTGTGTGTGTGTGTGTTCCGCTGCGCGATGCCACGCCTTCGGCTGTAATGCTAGGACATGCAGTGCTTGACTACGCAGTGCCACGCAATGCTATGCCACGCTACGCTTTGATCTTCGACGCCATGCTATGCCATGTGCTGATCTGTGTCGCTGTGCGATGCCATCCTTTGCGTTGCAATGCTTTGCGATGCAATTCTTCTTCACTACGCAAACCCACGCCATGCTATGACATACTGCGCTCTGCCGTTCTCTTCTACGCCCTGCTATACCGTGCTCTACGATACATCGCGCACCCTCTCGGGATAATTGCCCTGCTCGACATCCGACTGTGCGAACAGAGGGGAGATCTACGCCATAGTAAGGGATGGGAGGGGTAGGGGTAGGACGTCAGAGATGACGCGAGCGCACCTAGCTTGCCTTCTCCCCCTCTCCTCCCTCCTCCCAGCCCCCTCTCCTCCCCTCTCCTCCCTCCCTGCTCCCTCCCCCCCCTCCCCCTTGGTTAACCCCCCCCTCCCCCTCGGTTAACTCCCCCCCCCCCTCGGTCAACCCCCCTCGCTCCTCTCTCCCCCTGCCGCCCCCCCCGCCGCGCGCCTGACGGCGCGGCCGCTGCCAGGGAAGTACGACCACGAGCAGTACCTCGCGCTGAAGCTGCTGGGCAAGGCAATCCGCTACAAAGTCGACCTGTCTGGCGCAGGGCGCGACGGCGAATGCCCGTGCGGAGGAGAATGTTCGAGGAGGACGCATTTGCATGCACGTAAGTGTTCGGAGGTGCTCGTGGATGTCTTTGATCGGCGCCAGATGCGTACCACGAGTCGCGTTAGGGGCGGCGCCAGAGGCGCTGTCAGGGGGTCCTGCCAGTCCTGCTGGCGTAGATCCGAGAAATCTGCGTGGACCTTCGAAAGTCTATGTTTACGCAGTTTTCTGCCCATCTGGAGGGAGAGTCCTGTTCTTCTTCCTCGTTCCCATCCCGCCGCGTCTCCGAGGCGGGGATTTATCCAGAGCCACCGCTTGGGGGATCGATCTTCGAGGACCTCGGCAGGTCGTAGATCTGGACATCTTCGGGCCCTAGGGTGGGGGGGGGAGTATCTCCGTACCCGTCGCCAGCCAAGGTCTGCGAAGATGGATCCAGCAGTCGGTGGTCAGGGTACATCACCGCCGCGCATCGCCCTCCTCCTCCTCCTCCTCCTCCTCCTCCTCTTCCTCCTCCTCCTCCTTCCTCCTCAACCCTCCTCCTCCTCCTCCTCCTCCTCCTCCTACTCCCTCCTCCTCCTCCCATTCTTCTCAACCCCCCTACTCCTCCTCCTCCCTCCTCATCCTCCTACCCCTCCTCATCCATCCTCCTCCTATCCTCCTCTCCTCCTCCTCCTCCTTTCTCCTTCTCCTTCTACCTTCTCCTTCTCCTGCTCCTTCTTCCTCCTCTCCTCATCGTCTTCCTCCTCCTCCTCCTCCTCTCCGCTTCAACCCCTCCTCCTCCTACCCCTTCCCTCCTGATCCCTCCCTCTTTCCCCTACCCTATTCCTCCTGCCCTACTCCCTCCTCCTCCTCCTCCTCCTCCTCCTCCTCCTCCTCCTCCTCCACGTCCTCCCCCCCCTCCCCCTCCTCCTCCCCCTCCTCCTCCTCCTCCTCCTCCTCCTCCTCCTCCTTCTCTTTCTCCCTCCTCCTCCTCTTTCTCCCTCCTCCTCCTGCTCCTCCTCCTCCTCCTCCTCGTCCTCCTTCCCGAACCCCGCCCGCCGTAGAGCCAGGGACTGGCAAGCTGACGGGCGGCACCCGGCAACGGGAGCTAAACTTCAGTTCATTTCGTTGGGTTTCTCTGGCGTGCGATGGTCGACTGACGTCGCATGCAGCACCTCTTCTATTTTAAGTTGTG